CCCGGTAGCCCCCCAGCTGCTCTGCCCCAGCTGTCCCCAAGTCAGCCGCTGCTGATACTGATCAGCGGCTGACTCCAGGAAGCCTGGGGCAGAGCAGCTGGGGTGCTGCCGGTTTGGTCCAGTAGCGCTGAGGAGTGGTACTGCGGGACCAACTCAGGAGCACCCCAACTGCTCTGCCCCAGGTGTCCCCAAGAGCAGCTGGGGTGCTGCCAGATTGCTCTCCCTGCGCCAAGGGTCGGCACTACCGGACCAACCCGGCAGCACTCCAGCTGCTCTCCAGCTGCTGGTCAGTTTCAGCAGCGGCTGAATCAGGGACGCCTGGGGCAGAGCCGGACTATCGGAAGGGGGGGCTATGAGGGTCTGGGGTGGCATCCCCCCACTCCACCCCAGACCCATCATGGCCCTCCCTTCCGATAGTCCAGCATACCTGATAATCTGGCACCCCCTGGGTCCCAAAGGTGCCGGATTATTGGAAGTTTACTGTATTAAGACATTCTACAGCACTTTTCCACAGCTGCTTGGTCACAGGAATAAAGTTGTACCTCTGAGATACTGCAGGTGTAAAAAATATAAAATGTAAAATAATTTTTGTCCAGTCTTACAGCCAACTTTTCAAAGTTTCCCCTCAGTTTCTAAATCCAGCTTCTACAACGTTTTGCTCTCTAATTTTTGTGTAAGCATCTGAACCCCCAAAATATAGAATGTGTTTGTACAACAGCATTCTCCAAGGACACAACAATTCCTTTTTTGTAGGTGCAAAATATCTAGGTGAATTGCAGGCCTAAGTTAAAAGGCAGTTTTGGAAATTTGGCTCTCAATTTTAGTATGGGATTTAAGTTTTTACACTGTCAGAGAGTGGATTAAGCTTAAAACATTTGCAATTCTCTTTCCATCTTTTGTAACAATAACAGATTAATGAACTGCAATTTCCTGTTCTCATTACAATTGTGTCATGATGTTCAGAATTTTAATAACTCATATTCTGAAAAATATGGTGATGAGCTGAATTTCTTTGACCTTTTCATAATTCCATTATTTGATTTATTGTTTATTCTTAGCTGTTGGTAATAGAAACACTGGGACCTGGGGGCTTGACACACAGAAGTTTTAATTATTCAATCTTAGGTCATCTTCTAGTAATAGGAAAATTATAATATGACAGCAAACATTCATTAACAATGCAGTTCTGACTGTACCAGCCATAAATATAATAGTATGTGCTGACTAATCACTCAGGAATATGAAAAATTTCTATCTTCCCTGCTCCTAGCTGAGTTCTCAAATTTTCTGTTTCACTCATTCCTTAAAATCTGGACATTTCAGACTGAGTAGTGAAGTTGTCATAGTTCACAGAGGACTGAATCACTACCACTTGGAATTCTACTCAGATGAAGTGGTAGATATAGAAGATGGAAATTAAGGACCACAGGAGAAAATCAACAATAGATTGTACCTGGAAGACATTTCTCAGGAGAGGGTCAAGATGTTCCCTACAATAAGACTGTCTGGTGTCCCATACTTAAAAATGATGGTCCCTTTATAGTATAAGAGAAATCAATTTCAAGAGAAAATGGGGTAGCACTGCCCCCAGTCTACTCAAATTTCAGGAGTTTGTTTTCTTTGGGCACAAATAATTGAAAATCAGATCTTACAAGATCTCTTTCATCTTGAAGTGACAAAAACGTCTCATCGTATTAACGACTCTAGGATCACACCTATAAACTCCATCCTAAATATAATTGCAAACACACTGGTACTCAAACAAGCCCACGTGTCAACACGGATGAGGTTATCTGCAAGCAAATGGCTAGAGAAAATAGTAAAAGAACGTATTAACACCTTAACAGAAATTTCAATAATTCATATATCAAACTGGAAGATGGTATGTCCATGTGGAATGTTATAATACATTATTCTTTGGTCAAATTAAACATTATCCCTTTATAATTGTCCACAGTACTCTTGAAACATGTGCATACATACATTAAAAATGTTTTACAATAAAACATTCTGATAATATTTTATATATTGCAGACATACAAATTAGAAAGTACACTTGAACCTCTTCAATCTGGCAATCCTGGGAAAGAGGGTATGCCAGATTAAGGAATTTTTCAGATAATGGAGGGCAGAAGGATATGTGAGGGCAATGGGGATGGGTCACTTACCTGACACCCCGTTCCGACAGGCACATATGGCTTCACACCCCCCATTCCCAGGCACCAGCCCCTGCCATTATGGGAGTGGTGGGTAAAAGCTGTTGCACTGCCGTTCCCCCAGATGCAAGGGAAACAGGTAGCAACAATACATAGAGCTGCTTCCTCCTCCCCTTACCAGGGTCCTTACCGTGGATTTTCCAGGATCAGGGACACCCAAAATATGGAGGTTCAAATGTAGTTTATAATAGTTCAAATTAGCAAGTATGACATAGTCAGCCACCAGTTGTCTAACCACAGTCTGATGATGCAAACTATCCAATAAAGCAATATCTCACAAGTCAGGAAAATGCACTAGCTAATATAAAATAATTCACTTTCAAACTGTAACAAAGATATTTTGATGTCATATATATAATAAAGTAAGAGCAAGCTATAAAAACATTATTACCTTTGGAGTAATGGCAAATATCTAATACAGGAGTGGGCAATAATTTTTGCAGGAGGCCACTTCACGAATTTTGGCAGTGGTCATGGGCTGCCCCCCGAAGGGTAGAACCTAAGGCAGAAGAGGCGGGGCCTTGGGCGGAAAAGGGTTGTTCTCTCTAAGTGCAGAAGAGACTTTGCATGCTCCCTCGCCCCCAGGCCAATCAGGGCTTCGGGGTGGGGGGGAAAAGAAATCTCTCACTCCTGCCCCCACACTGCCAAAGGTGTGTGATGCCTAGAGGGAACCGACAGCCATTTTGAACAGCTGGCAGTACCCTCAAAGCGCCTGGGGGTAGGAGAGTGCGCAAACTCATTCACTGTTCAAAATGGCTGGCGAATCCCTCTGGGCACTGCACAGCCCTGGTGACGTGAGGAAGCCACCAGATGCTTGAACAGTGAATTACTTTGCGCACTCCCCCACCCCCAAATCTTGATTGGCCTAGGGACGGGGGAGTGGCAAGGTGGCTGAAGGCCAGATCAAATAGCATGGCAGGCCATTTGCCATATTTTGCCCACCCCTGATCTAATAGATTAATTCAGCCTTTATTGTGAAAAACAGTGCATAAAGGGATTAAATTAATTGGTGAGCTTTACCATGGTGGTACTACAGTAATATGCTGCTAGATTTTCAGTCTCCAAAATAAAAATGCATCTGGAAAAAACAACGGAGATACTGCTTTAATCAATTCATTAATAACAACAGAAGTAACGTGTTACAAAGAACATCCTGGAATTCCTGGGAAACTGTATTGGTTTCACAAATTTATTATTTATTTAACGCAGTGTTTCTCAAAGTGGTCTGCGGATCCACTCTGAGAAACCTGCTATCTGACTGCTCCAGTTTGTTTATTTACTGGTTCCGCAGCCACAGAGCATGGAGGCTCCCATTGGCTCCAGTTCACCGCTTGCAGCCAAGGGAACCTATGGGAAGCGGCATCCCGGCTACACTTGACGTAGCTGAAGTTGTATAGCTTAATTCAACTTTAGCCCTGCTATGTAGATGTGCCCCATGACTGCTCATTGAACAGAAAAACAGCACCAATTTTCAAATAATTTGGCAGTTGTTCTAGTGTGAAATGTCACTTCTTATTGTTGCTAGTAATTTATAAAAACAATAAAAGGCCAGACTATGTCACATTGATTTGTAACCCTAACCCTGCCAGTTTGGAAGGTAGGGTCAGCTGATTAGTCGGCACCATCTCCCCAGCCTATTTGCACAGGCCTGTCCAAGCCTATGGTTACACATACAAACAGAGAGGCTCCTAAATGCCTAAATAACTTTTGAAAATCAAACTTATATATGGCAATGCTGAACGGAGCAACATTTAAATACCTAAAACATCTGGACTGATGCATATATTTGAAAATACATTTATATATAGCAAAGTATCAACAAAGCTTCTAATGAAGACTGTCTGACCTGAGTAGATGAATAACCTCCAAGATGGTTTCTTTGCTGACTTAACCATTTCATAATAGGGATCCCCTCTGATAGTCTATCTTGCTGAAAGTGAGAGAGCAGGGCATAGGCTGCAAGTTCAATGTCTACAGAGCGTGGCTGCCATGAGTCAGAGAGTTCAGGGGCTGGAGAGGTCCAGAATCGAAGGTCTCCTGGAAGAGAGATCATCAGATCAGGATGTCAGAGCCGAAGGCATGAATAAATGCTCTGTAGCTAAAGAAAACCTGCCTAGTTATGTTTACCTATTGGATCCAGCAAGGTGTTTAAATGCTTTACTCACTAAATTGGGGCTGGACAACAGACACCAAACCTGCCAGAGTTCATGCAATGACTCCTACTGACTTCAAAGGATTCTGGATCCACCTTTTATGTATAATTATAGAAGGAACCAATTCAGAAAATACTTACTAACAAGTCATAGTGCTTACTACCAGAAAGAATTCCACTGAAGTGAATAGGACTTCTCACAGTTGTAAGCATTATGTTTGGCAGTAAGAATTTGCTGGACCAGATCCTAGGGGTAATAAGTTCCAGTATTTTCACCCTAGAGTGGTGGTATCTAATCCCCACCAAAAATGTATTTAACAATCCAATGAAATAGAAAGGAATGTGTAATTTGACTAGCTTTCATCTAGCACCAATAAGCAAACAAATAACACTCTTATATTTTGCTTTATCTCAATTTTCCTCCTAAAACATGCAACGAAATGTACATAGGCATCCATGCACAAAGCATGTGCACTGACATTCAGTTCTAAAGGGATGAATGTTCATTTGGGGACAGGGGTCACAAAAAACCCAACATATCTCTACATCTCTTAAAGATCAAGTCTTCATTTCTCCATATTGACACTGATTTAATCAATCACCCTCACTGTTTCCTGGCCTCAGAGCTCCTTTGAGCTTTCAGGCTCATTGCCCTGCTCTGACCCTGCTGAGCTAGCGAGATCTGACAGGCACTCATAACAAGGTAGAAAGGGAAGCTCAGGCTTCACAAAAATATAGTCACATTGCACACTAGAGAACATTGCAGTTAAGGTTGAACTTACCCATCTTCACTACAAACTCCTAGTCACTTGCATACAGTAATTCCTCATTTAACACTATAGATATGTTTCTGAAAATGTTCATGCTAAGCGAAAACGTGCTATGCGGGGTCAATTTTCCCATTAAAAATAGTGGGAAAGGTGGGGGTTGCGTTTCAGGTTGTGGTGGCAAAGTCAATTTTCTGTTGGTGCTGGGTTGTCAACGTCAGCATTAGATATCTAGAGACCCAAGTTGCCGCGGTTTGTTAAAACACAAAGATAAACACGTGAGTGAGCAGAGGAGCACTGTGACCATGTGTATTCATCGGCTAATGCTTATTACCACTGTTTTCACCAACTTATACTGCCGCGCGAAGTAGTCTGCCACTTGATTATTTTCGTGTTATTTCGGGGATGGTCGTGTTATTTGAAAAACGTTCCCTAAAAAAGAATCGTGTTATTGAGAACATGTGTTAAGCGGGCACGTGTTAAATGAGTAATTACTGTACAGTTTTCATCAGAATTATTGCTTTTAGGGTTCTCTTCTATTCTAAACAGATCCCTATACCACGCTCACAACATATGCCTATATGCAGCTCCATAGCTATTTCTTTTCTTTTCTTTTTTAAGTTTGAAGAAAATCCATTCATACTACTGCATAAAGAGCTTCTTACAGTACCTTGCTGCTCTGATCTCTGGTTTAGTGCATCCAGGGCTTCCTTTGCTTTTACACTCTTTGCCAATGACAATGCATATGTCACAAGTGCCAACGTATAGTTATCTGAAACTCCTTCTTCTAATTTAGTTTCCAAGAAGTTTACAGCATTTGTTACAGCAAAAGCATCCTGGAAATAAAGGTTATAGCAAAAGATGTTAGTTTAATGTTACTATATATTTTAGAAATGTGTGTCTGTCTATCTGCCTGTGAATCTGTTCCATCAAGAATTCATCCTAAATGGTAAGAGCTAGGACCACTAAATCTGGTACGCAGCATCCTCTTATCATAACTTAAAACAAGGTAAGGTAATTGGTTGTGCCAGGACAATGGAATATACCTGGACTTTGATAGTTTCTCATAACATTGAAAGGAGGGGTCAGCTAGAGGCAGTTTACTGTAGAATGACCATAGGGGCAGCAAGGAGTCAGAGATGGGGACGAGGACCATTCGGCCAGCAGTGGGCAGGAATGAAGAAAAGGGACAGATATCTACTATATGTTTCAGACGGTTTGTCTATTTGTGTATCTGTTTGTCTGTCTGTCCCCATGCAAGGGGATATGCCCCTCTCCCTAGACTGTGCCTGGTGCAGCTGCAGTGGCTATGGACAGGTGCTTCTCACCTGGCACCAAGTTGCTACATTGAGAGAAGGCTAGGGCTGAGGGCAGGAATGAAGAAAAGGGACAGATATCTACTATATGTTTCAGACGGTTTGTCTATTTGTGTATCTGTTTGTCTGTCTGTCCCCATGCAAGGGGATATGCCCCTCTCCCTAGACTGTGCCTGGTGCAGCTGCAGTGGCTATGGACAGGTGCTTCTCACCTGGCACCAAGTTGCTACATTGAGAGAAGGCTAGGGCTGAT